CATGGTGTTCATGATTAAGAATGATGCCTTTTAAAAATGTTTTTGTTATATGTAAAATCCATAAAAGATAATGTTACAACTAGAGATAAATTAATTAGAGACATCTGAAATAGTAATAAATAATAAAAACAAGTAAATATAATATGTTAAAAGCGAAAGCTGTAATGCAAATACATAAAAATTTTGCTATACAAATAGACAGTGGTTGCTTGATGAAACTGTTATAAACAGCACTTGCTAATATAACACAAGAGCTATGAGCATTTAACCCTAGGAAATCTTGGAAGTTTCTACACTTGAATGGATGAATTGCGGTCGTACTCTCTACTTTTAACAAAAACAACCCATTTTTCTGGATTCTGTTTAAATACTACCTTTTGCTAATCCCAAATGTCAACTCATTGAACTTATTGACGAAGGTTCCTTTTCGAAATCATCAAAAAGTAATAAGTCAATTAAATAATTTAATATGACTAATATCTCTAACAAAACTCTAACTTTTTGTTGTTGTTGTCTGACGAACGTCTTAACAACACTATATTATCAGATTGATTCAACAGAATTTGAATTGATTGATTAGCCATCATGTTTCGAAATAAATGTCAACTTTGTAGATCTTTAAGCCAAAATATGTTCATTATTCTCCAATTTCTTTCAGGCAGCATTTTTGTTACAGTTGAACTCAGAATAAAAGATTAGATAGTCGTTCTATTCCTAATGTTCAAACTTTTATGTTCAAGTCTGTTCAATTATCAATAACCGTTTTTATACACCCCCTCATGATATAGCTGCATAATAAAAATTAATAGCAAGACATAATTCAGGCACAAGTGCACAAATATTCTTTGTAAATGTAGGCTTTTGTTAAACTAGATGTTCCAAATAAAATTCATATATTTGCTGAATTAAATATTCTTTCTTACATCTTCAAACTGTGAAAGTATGTGAACAAACTATTTCTACGCAATAGCATTCAGTATTGCTCATTAGCAGGTATAATGGCTTACTCTTTCTATGCTTGTACTGAGCATATTTCTTTCTTCTTTGTTGTTTTGTGATGAATATTCAAGTTTAGATGTGTTCTTTATAAAAATGTTTTATATATGTGCCACCTTTTATGCTATAATTTACATACTGAAATTTTATAGAAAATACAACTGAGATTATATTACATAAGGCGTTAAAAATATATTGCTTGTCTGAAAGTTAGAAGATAGATTAAGTATAGCTTTAATGCCTACAGATAAAAAATTTGGAATTTGATTATATAGGTAAGTTTTTTTCTATACATGAAAATTCCCCAATTTCTTAGAGGCTTAAATTGAAACTTGGTGATTACATGAAGATACCATAATTTGCTAGAAGTTTGGAGGTAGATTAAGTGAGGTGTTCATTTCTTGGACGTCTGAAGATAGATTTGGAAAGGTTTTGATACGTAAAGATACACTAATTTCCTACAGATCTAAAGATAGATTATGTAAGGGATTAATGCATGAAAATACAATAATTTCCTAGAAGTTTGAAGAAAGGGAAATGAAGTAAGAATATATTAAATTAAAATACATTAATTTTCTTGATACGTTAAAATGAACTGATAAAATTTTGGAGGTGTAATAGATACGTTTGTTTCCAATATTTATGCAAGTTTATACGCATGGGCTATCTGCTCTAGCTATCCGTAATTTTGAACAGATACACCAGGGAAGGCTGCTTTTTATATCTGTATCTATTTTTTTCACCTAGTAGGTGTCGGGCTGCGAATCTGGAGGTCTGCGTCTCTTCACCACAAAAACAAACAATGCATTTCGATACTTGGGACCGTGAGTACGTTGTATGAACGATGGTCAGATCTATACTATTATATCAGAGTAACCCAAGGTCTGGCGATTACTTGGCACTAAAATGGACCAGTTCTGTAACACGTCAGCATCATTAGCATATGACATTTAATTTAGACCCCAAGATCATATAATTAAACTGCTGAAGGTTTCTTGTTTGTAAAATGTGTAAATATAGACTTAAAATTTAAGATAAATATAAATCATGTCCTGTTACCTGTGTTCAGGCACCAATGAAACTATATGAATAGTGCCAGACCAGCAAGGCTCTAAAAAACATGAAAATGTCGTATATACTGCATAGTAAGACATCAGTACATACCAACCATAAACTGACACACATGGCTTTATCAGAAACACCGTACTGATGAAATATTTCTTCCTTTACCAGGAAGTTTAACACGAACCGTTTATTCAATTTTTTTGTGTCATATCTAACTATTATAGGGTGAAGAAATGATAAACGGAAAATTGGAAAATAAACAAATCATGTCGCAGGCTTAATACCTTTTGTTTCCTAGTTTCATATATGAAATTTTAAAATTCACTTGATGTTGTCTATATCCGAGAATGCAGAGTGTATAACGACGGTGTCTGGCAATTTAAAGGGTAATATGAAGTTTTAGAGGTGAAATTATAATGTTTTCAAGTACTCTGAATAAAGTAATTTCAAATGCTTTCGCAGTATTAACGCATTTTGCTCGTTCAAACTTACGCGTGTATACTGTACGAGTCAGAATACATGAACAGAATACACCAGCCCTTAAGTTTGTTTACGTATATATATATATATCTGTTGAACACGCTTGAAAGGAAAACAAAGAGCTGTATGGGAATTTAGGTGAATACTTAAGGGTTTGTGGAAACCTAACAGAACTGTGCGATAGGGTTAAACATTATCTAATATATAAAGCTAAGTTTGTGTCTGTTTGTTCGCACCTTTCAGTCATCTGTTCCTTATGCGTTTCTACATTTCTTGATCAGTCAGCACCCAACTTGACACGGTGGTACAGGATGACACGAGGAAGGTTAGGAGGGGAAGTGGTGTGGGTAGACCCCCCAGCTAATTTCGGAAGAAACTTACTAAATCAGCACAACTTGACACAGTAATGCAGGATGACATGAGGGGATTGGACCCCCCCCCCCAATATAATTCATATTGATAGAATTCTCGAAAACAGTATGTCTTTCTTTTCAATATTGGTACCTTTATGTTTTTTATTGGACCTTTAATGTTTATTATGTTAAGAAAAAAATAGAAGCACAATTTCCTTTCCTTTGTTTTTACAAACGAGTTTTTATTTCACTTGTCTAACGGACGGGTATTCCAGCTAGTATAGTAGTATGTGTGTGTGTGTGTAGTGAAAATTCACATTTCTATAGCTTTTCCTTGCTTATTTCTTCGGAGGAGGAGGACACTTATAAAAACCCTTCTCTGTTATCCAACCTTCAAAATTCCGCTAAAAAATAAATTTCTATACAAGCAATTTCTCTACAGTCACGTCCGCAAGTACGTTCTAACCATAGTATGTATTAAGCTAACTATATACCAAACACAGGGATATACTTTAATAACAGTTATGCTAAAAGTATTAAATACCACTCTTCCCGCCTTAAACACTAATTACATAGACTTAAATGCACATGTTATATGTATAGTGAAACAGAGCGTGAATGTCATTCACTTATAATATATAAGGTAGAGATAATTAAACAGTTCTGTTCTGTTCATGATCCAAAATACATGGCTTTTATCATAATCAGAATATGATATATAATCTTAAAGATATCATATCAACTTAATTTACCTCGTATCAACCATAATATATGAAGAAAGTACAACACACGATGTTAAGTACTAAGCATATTATTGCATACTCTTCTTTAGTTTACCACAAAAGTTCATATAATAATGACACATGAGATGCAGTTCCGGAACAACATACTATGATAAACTTAACACATTAAATACAGTACATAAAACACGTATAGAAAATAACAAACTTAAGATGATAAATACAGTACATAAACAATTACATAATATTACAAACTTAACAAATAAGACACATATAGAAAACAACAAACTTAAGACGTTAAATACAATACATAAAACACGTATGGAAAATAACAAACTTAAGATGACAAATACAGTACATAAACAATTACATAATATTACAAACTTAACAAATAAGACACATATAGAAAACAACAAACTTAAGACGTTAAATACAATACATAAACAACTACCGTATTTTTCTGTGTATAAGACGCACTTTTTTACCCCAAAATTTGATGTCAAAATTTGCTTGCGTCCTATACACCGAAGGTATGAATAATATATATATATAGATACGATATACACAAGCCATATGTAAATATATTTAAATAGGCATGCATGGTTTAGTTCAATTGAATGTGTTATTTATAACAATAGTAGTTTTTTTTCTTTTAAATCATAACTATTTATAAATCTCCCTAAATAATAAAAAAATAAATTACACTGAAAGCAATGAAGATTTTGTAGGTTTTGAACCAAACTAAATAACAGTAAACCTTTTTTTGATTTACGGTATTTTCTTATTTTGATGTTTTGAGCTATTTTGTGTTTAGAACAATATATATATATATATACTCATTTTTAAAGTATCAAATTGAATTTTAGTTCAATAAAAATCTTTCAACTGCGACTGTAGCCTTTTTTCCTCCAAAACTATGTCTTCAAAATAAGAGTGCGTCTTATATTTCGAAAAATACGGTACATAATACTAGAAACTTAACACATTAAATACAGTACATAAGAAACATGTAGAATATAACAAACTTAAGGTGTTAAATACAGTACATAAACAACTACATAATAAACCTAACAAATTAAGTGCAGCACATAAGAAATACACAGAACATTACAATTACGTGATTTTACAAACTTAACACACCAAATACAGCAATGTACACAATTTATCAGAGGTAACACATTAAGTAGAGTACGTAAACAAAACATAAACTCAACGCATAACAAAGTACACAATATACATTTCATACATTAAGAGTAGTACAAAACAACGTATTTACATACATTTAACAAGTTAAGTACAGTGCCTGAATAAAGAACAGTTTACAGTAAGTGTATAACCAGAAAACATCATAATCACGCTACTTTACCGTCTGCTGGACAATCGTCATCTTCATGATCCAGCTCCGAATCTGTGTGCGTGGTGAAAAACCAAGGAGAGTGAGAGCGTGCTGACCCTCTAAACTTGGTGGGATCCAATATATCATCCACCGAGAAAGGCGTCATATCATTTGGGGTACGCGGCTGCGGCCTGATTCGCTTGACCTCGGGCAATTCTTGAACTGATGAACTCCGGGATGAATCCCCTTTATGTGTGAGAGGACCAGCGCTATCGGAATTTGCTGGTTTCTGTTGACGAATTTTTAGAGTTAAGTCCGTGGGACTATTTAGGTCCATATTTTCTGAAAATGGCACTGTTTGTTCTTGCTGCAGCGATCGACCAGTTATCTGGCTAAAACCGATTCGTACGTGCGGACATGCTAGCGTCATGTGGTCAGTGTCTTGACCTGTCTGCATCTGGTTCTTAAGCTATGAGTATCAAACACGCGTACCGTAATGATCGGTCTGATAGCATCGAGAACCTGAACTAGTGGAGCTTGAAGTCTGCCTGTAGACAGCCCAACCTCTCGCTGATTGGCTGCTCGTTGATCTTTCTTGAATATTGACGTCACTAGGTTATTTTGAGGCGGGAAACTACTCGCACACTTCCACAACGACGCTTAGATCACAGTAATTGGATGACAAATTAATTGATGATTGTAACGTTTCGCGTCACTGTTATTAATTTGAGCGATTAACGCTTTCCAAACAACCAGCTGTACAGAAAACACTGATTTCTACCCCATCGACCGGTTATTCTCCAAACTTGTAACTACCAGACAAGTGTACGTTTTATTATTTGTTGTGCAATAATGTACACAGTGGATGTTTTCATTGAAAAGAATCGAAACTTGATCAAATCTATTAATGAGCTGTAAATTCATGAAACTTTACTATGCAACCACAGAAGAAAATGTGACTTGCAACAGTATACTTCTCAAGAATATTCCACATCTAAAAAACACACTACTTTTAAATATCTCATCGGCAGCAACATGTTGTTTAACGATGTTTCACACGTAGTAATTTATTGTCTTGTAAGACACGTGGAATGAATAAAAAGTAAGTAGAATCAACAAACAAGAAACCAAGTTGTTTGCGAGGTTAAGGAACGAAGAAAGTATATTTTCCGAAAGTTTTTGAGGCGTTGAGGTTCTTTGTCGCTTGCATTGATATTTCACATGTATAGTAGTACATTATCTAAGGATTTACCACCTTTAGTATCATAATACTTAAGGATATCAAGCTGCTGTAGCTATTTGTTGTTTAAGATTCTCTGAAAGTTGTGCTTTAAATGATCCACTATGCACGATTATTTTTCAAAAAAGAATGGACTATAAAAATAATTAGTCGATGTAGTTCTGATCATCTTTATCTTCTGCAGTTAGTATAAATATTTTTGCCAGTTTTAAAACTGAAAAACCTGTTTTAAAAATAGAAAGGGGTTTTACTTAAAACTTAATTCCTGCGAATAATTAAGGTTACGAAGCGTTCCAATAAAATTAGGATCGTCCTGGGTTTTAGCCCTATTTTTTGTCCCGATCAGAAACAGTCCAAATAATTAAATTTTCCCACTTTCTCTGTATCTCACTGTGAGTTTGATATATATACGGTTTGTCATTATACACGGCTCTTTTAAATTTTGCTTGAAGAATCATTTGAGAAAGCCAAATCATATGACACAGTGTTTTCTCCCTTTTTTACTACGTTTTCTTAACCTAACCTGTCATTTGACATCCGCAAGAATTGAGATTTGAAGACGTGCCCAGCCACGAATAGAAAACGAAGGAGTTAGATTTTTTGAGTAGGCTCAAAACATCGCGTTTTTACAATTTTGTTTATGATTGCTTATAACAAGTTTTGTTTGTCTGTGGTTTTAAAATGCGATGCACTGAACACCATAATATTTATCAGTGGTAAAAAGTGTGTTATTGTAATTTAAAATATTTCATAACTGTTACAGTGTCAAAAAAAAAGTCCCAGTTTTTCACTCTGGATATCTGGTAACCAAAGAAAAATCTATTGTCACTATCGGAAAACAAAACGGAAACATAACACTATAATTGCAGACTGTCTTTGCCTTAAGTTCACATACACTTTGTATAATGCATATACTTTAAAATATGCATGTGAAATCAGAGAAAAAAATGTTTTTTTTCATCACTAAAAATAGCCAATTACTGAATAGCAGGCAATATTCTAACAAAATCACAGGAATAAGAATAACTTTAAAATTTGAAAATAGTTGAATAAGAAAAGTCTGTTAAAAATAAAAATTTTAAAACCATTTCATTAACAATTTTTTTTTAAAGTTTAGAAAGGAGACTGTTTTTCTTCGAGATGAGCACGACAAAGTTGCTTCTGAAAACGTGAGTGTCGGCTGTTATTAGATGGATAATGTTACGAAGAAAGAAGAGACAAGGCCGTCTAAAGCCTTGAAGGCGTTTTCCGATACCACATCGCTTCCATTCGATTATATCAGTAAGGCTCTTCTCTCCTTCCATCCATTCGTGCACCTGTTTCAGTTCTATACAGTTCTAGTTTGTTCCACATGATCAGACTGTCTACCGCAGGCTGTTATTCTAAGTAAAATTAAGTCATTAAATTCGCTGCCAGTCGGTCCTTCCTTACACGCTGCCCTCATCATCGTATTTCCGAGAGAACAGAGACGGCTTTAGAAGAAGCTCGGCCTATACATAACAGGGTCGGTCTTATCTCGGATGGTCGCTGCTGTTGTCGATTTCATATGATTGTACTAAACCAGCCTCTATTGAAAGGAGCTTAGCCGGCGGGCACACTGGAGCACGTGGTGATTATGTCATCAGGTTCTCATAGGAAGATGAAAAGAAGCTCACAGAAAATAGCCGATGCTTATCGTCGTTCACAGCGTAGTTTCTTCACAATCGGCACCGAGAGTTAAACGTAGACATCATACTTAAATTAATTAGCATTCGTGTGTTTGTGGAATAACTTTGAACCCGTACAAGCGTTCAGTAGATAGTAAAACCTATACCACAAACATCTACGAACTGCAGTCTTGAGCAATGCCAGCCTCCTTGGATCTGTAATATAGATTATTATCAAAGGATCTTTACATGTTTTTAAATGGCTTGATATAGTTTTTCTTTTCGTTTTGAAAGTACACTTTGATGTTGTTCAATTTCTCACTTTACTGCTAGCGTTAGCTGAAGCTACATATCTTCAAACCCTCTAAACAAAAGTAAAGATATATGTATATTTAAAAAATGTGTCAATATTATTCCCACTTGACATGTTTAGTAGCAATATGGTCACTTATACGAATATTTTTATTACTATATACTAAGAGATAGTGGTGCTCACCAGGATTCGATCCTCGACCCTCTTGTTGGGGAGGCTGGCATACTATCTATTCTTCTGGAGTCACCCTCCCTTAAGATTTCAATTAAATATTTGAATATTTTCAAGATGGGTCCCAAGGTTTTGCTGATTTTTATGTATAGGATGGCTGGTTGCCTTCTCAGTTAGGTGGATTTTCAAATATTTTGTTCTGTCTTTTTTTGTGCATGTGATTCACATCCCATTATTTTAGTATTATTTCAATTAATTGTATGTGGTATTATTATATGAAATGATAGGTTAATGAAGATAGATCAGTTCTATTATTATTTGGAATTCTGGTCTTTATTGATAATTTTGTTATCCCAGTGCATTAGAGTCCACTTCACAAACATAAATTGTGTTTTTACTCCCACTGGGATTTTAGGTGTTTTGGTGTGTGGTAACTGCGATCGTACTGTGTTATGGCCTCTCAATACTGTTCTAACTTTACGCTGTTTAGACGTCCTGTGACTGTTTTCAGAGATACGTTGGGAGAATAAGGATTTAATATATTTTCTGCCTATTCTTGATGTCTATTCATGCTTTTATTTCATTCTTCATCAAATGTTCAGGGTATCCATTAACAGGCAGGGTTGTAGTGATGTTTTTTTCTTAGCGTCTGTTATTATAAACTTTGTTAGTTCTGAATACTAAGTAGATTATGAGGCCAGTTTTTACATGGTTGGGTTTTGATTTATAGTATTAACCAGCTAATATCTATGGGATTACTGTAAATCTCTGTGATATATGAGGTAGGTGTCTTAGTAGCCATGACACTAGGAATGACTTTGTTATCTTATTATATTTAAATAGTGAATTCTATTGCTAGGTGTTCTCTGTTTAGATGACTCATGAATGCTGAAATCTTGTCTGTAGTGAATGTCCATATTACAAATCTACCGAAGTCCAATCCAAGGCCATACAGCAGCTCGTTTTAGGGCGTTGTCTTCAATGAGTCCCATGTACAGGCTTTTGGGTACAGATTGTGGAGTAAGCCTTTGACTGGACCCTCTACTTATTAGTAATGTTTTCCTTCATGTTGGAAGTACAATGTGTTGACATAAAAAGTTGTGAATTCTATTATCCTGCAGATTATCAGTTTGATTCGTTCTCTGAACTGTTGGAGGAATATTTCTAGTATCTCAAGGTTCCGTGTTTTTACTGAATAAGGGATACATCGAAACTAATATTTGTGTCTTGCGGGTATTTCTTGGTGTTTTTTTATATAACCTTCACAGAGTGGGCTAAATTTTTAACACGTGAGAATGTTTAAGTAGTTAATGGTGATATTATATCTACAAGATATTTAGGTAGTTTATATCTTTTTCAATGTGCACTTATACTGTTACAAGTTAGTGTTTCAGAATAATCTTAACTTTATATGTTTTCTTTGATAGCATTTTAAATACAAATTTATACAGATAGCATCTAACTCCTCATTACTATCTTAATGTTTCTTTCACATGTCTTTCAGTACACACTTATACTTCAAACATTGTTCATATTCCTTTTGTCTGTGGGACCTGACATTTCACCACCACCCACTCACCCACTACGTACATATGACGGTAAAAACAAGTCCACTATCAGCAAATATTAGGTCGTCATGAAATTAATGTCGCTTTTTTTAGATGAAAAAACCCGAACAACTTATATATCAATACAGAACATTTATTAAATGAAATAGTCTTCATTCTTATCGATTATGCTTTTCCATCTTACAATCAGGTTGTTAATGCCCTGATTCAAGAAATCACTTGGCTTTGAAGTAATAAACATGTCGATATCCTCTTTAACACCTTCCACATTTGCATACGTTTTCCCATTAAGATGGTGTTGCAGCGAACGAAAAAGATGGTACTCTGATGGTGCCTTATCTGGAAAATATGGTGGGTGGGGGAGAACTTCCGAACCCAACTCCATAATCTTGTGTTGCGTCAAACGTGCCACATGTGGACGTGCATTGTCGTGGAGAAGAAGAACATCTTTCCTATTGACGAGTGAATGGCGTTTCTGATAAAGGGCTTGATTTA